AGGCTGAGAGTAAGTGACTTGCCCAAGGTCACTAGATGGTGATATTAAAGCACAGTCATCTGAAAAATGTATAATTCTTATTCAGGCCAGGGAAACTCAAAGATAAAACAAACCTGCTGTCACTCCTGAGCCATTGCCTTAAGAGCTCTATGATGCTTAAAAACTTGCTGACTTATACAGCAACCTCACCCAGCTCAATAACAAACATGGGGAATAATTTATCTAAAGGGAGTAACATCCACTGAACTCAAGGGAGCGCTCTCTGAACTCAGTGTTTTTAGTAAGCCAAGGCTTACTTCTGAGTAAACCACTTTAGATTTGTTTTTCATGTGTCTCTATGTTGCTCTATGTAATAAGCATTCTATTGTATTCATGTATCTCTGAACTCTACTTACTAATAAAACAACAACAACAACAACCCATCGGATTGGGATCTGCTTGGAAATCAGTATTTAACTTAGCTTGATTGTTCACATCCTTTTTATACAATATAAATATTGTACAATATTGCATTTAAATAATAGCTGGAATTCACTTACAAATACCATCCATGCAAGGCCAAAAGGTCCCCATTGTGCAACAGATGTATTCTGCTGACACCAGAGGCAGCGGAATTGCACAGACAGCATGTTCATCTGCACCTTGTCTTTGCAAGTTGTGCATCCTGTACTTTCCATTGTGATTATGCACTGCAATTGTACAGTGTTTTCCAGTGTGGTTGTACATCTTCTGATATTGCATTGTATACTTTCCATTGTGGTTATGCATCCTATACTTACCACTGTAACTACACATTGTGGTTGCATGTTCTGTACTTTGCATTGTGATTATGCATTGTGATTCTGTGTCATGCATTATGCATTGTGCAATGGTATCCGCTCACTGACATGTGTTGAGCAGTGTTGCTGTTCTGCATGGAGATTGCATAGTACTGCCACAGCATATGTCTAGCTAGGCTGAGGAGATGTTGGACTGGGGCCTATGTTTACTCTGAAGTAAATCTGTAAAGTAAGTGTGTGTGTGTGTGTGTGTGTGTACGCACGCACACTTCAAGTTGCCTAAAGAGTTATGGCAACCCCATGAATTTTAAGGTTTTCTTAGACAAGGAATACTCACAAGTGGTTTTGCCAGTTTCTTTCTCTGTAATATAACCTATAGCACCTGGTATTTGTTGGTGTCTCCCATTCAAGTACTATTCAGGACTAGGTCTGTGTAGCTCCCAAGATCAGATGAGATCTGATGTCTTCAGGGCAATTAGGCCAAGTAAGTCCTTACTAAGTAAGAACAAAATTGTTAAAGTCTGGTTTTGGCCTAATGTGTGTGTGTGTGTGGTTATGCTGTATTGCAGGTTTTATGGGGGGGGGTGTTATTTCTTCCACCTATTTTGGATTCATCTAAAATCCCAGTGTTGCTCTTCCCATTAGGTTAGTGTGTCTAGAATCCTATACCTAGGATTACATGGGATTAAACCCTACTGAACTCAATTGTAAAGGCTCTTGATTGTGTCCTGTTAAGACTTCTTTTTCTGCAAACACGATAAAGGAAATATTATGTGCTCATAAAGGGCTTGACCCTTTAGCAAAAGCAATTAGAGATGAGAGGGCAGAAAAAAATGAGGTTAATGTGCAGAGAAAGATTAACTTTTCTTTCTTAAAAAATACATAAAGAAAATAAGTGCCACAGCTTCCATAGAGCGCTACCATTTTCTTTGGCAGTTTGATGTGTGGTCTGGTTTTCTTTGCTTAGCTCTGAAGAAAAATCTTTTGCACATGTTTAGATACATATTCCTCTTTCATATGCTTGGACTTGGAAACAAATCCATGCTGAACAACAGTCTAGAGCAGTGGCTCCCAAACTTTGGCCTTCCAAATGTTTTGGACTTCAACTCCCAGAAGCCCCAGCCAGCTTGGCCAACTGTCAGGAATTCTGGGAGCTGAATTCCAAAACATCTGGAGGACCAAAGTTTGGGAATCACTGGTCTAGAGGTTATTAAAAGGACTTTGAGAAACCAGGTTCAAGTCCCACTCAACTGAGTAAATCCACTGAGTGACCCTGGATATGTCACACCCTCTCAGCCTTGGACAACTAAGTGACAAACCACCTCTGAGTAAATCTTGCCAAACAAATCCTCTGATAGGGTCACCTTACTTATGTGAAGGCACATAACACCAACCAGAAGCAATAGTGGAGTGTGGAGGGGGGACTTTGTCCCAGTTGTTGTTGCGGGGTGGTGGTGGTGGTGGTGGTATTGTCACACTGGGACCTTCCATCCTAAATATCCTAATCATATTTTCCCTCTGTTGATTTTGATGAGAGTTTACCTTAAACACACGTTTTGGACTGCAGGTTCATATCATTTCCACCTTATGCAGAGCTTGAAATGTTGAATTTTCAAAGGCAATTGGCCCAATTCTTAATTACAGTAGGGAAAGTAATAGTTCCTGTCACTCATTAGGATGATGAAAAATTTAATGGGCCTTGTTCTGCTGCCTTTATTTTCCCATTAATCTCTTTGTTACATTTTTGAGAGAGGAACCTTAGGATGGTAGTAAAGAATGTAGGTAAATGGTATGTATAATATAATGGCTGAGGTAAATGGAGATTTGATTAATGTATTTTTTTTAAAGAATGGAAATAAATTTAAATAAATAAATAAATCCCTAAAAAGAAGCCAGGACAGTTAAAGCAGCCTCAAACTGGATGATTTCCGCAGTGTGTTTTGGACTGAAGAGTTAAGATCTGTTCATCTACTGCAAACTGGCTGAAGCAGATCAGTCTAGAAAGGAGCGATTGCCTTGGGAAAGAACCCTCCATAGGCTGCCATGAGTGTCAGGCAGAAATTCCCAAATGAAACACCACAAAATCAAACAAGTGGGCCCTGACCAATAGTGGATTTCACCCTCTTTGGCTAAAAGGAAGATAACCAGGGATCCCTGAATGGTAGACCAAGGTTGGAGAGGCTCAAAGTCATAATAATAATAATAATAATAATAATAAATTTTATTTATATCCTGCTTCTCTGCATAGCAATCGAAGCGGTGTACATCAATTAAAAAGAACAAGTTAAAATCACAACCCTGACCCCAACCCTCCCCCCCATAAAACAGAATTAAACTAAATTCGAGTTAAAACATAAATATAGCAATTAAAACAAAAACAAACAAAATTTGACAGGGGGACATGTCATGGCGGACAAAGCTATATAAATTGTGAAGTCAAAGGCTTTCACAGCTGGCATCCATAGGTTTTTGTGGGTTTTTCCGGAAATGTATTCCTGACATTTTGCCTGCATTTGCAGCTGGCATCTTCTGTTCTTCCATGTAGAAAAACAGAGAGCCAGCTTGGTGTAGTGCTTTTAGTGTTGGAATACAACTCTGGAAACCAGGATTCAAATCCCCACTCAGCAATCTTGACCAACTTAATGGTGACTCTCTCAGCCTCAGAGGAAGGCAAAGGCAAACCCCTTCTGAAAAAATTCTGCCAAGAAAACCCCATGAAAAATTTGCTTTGGTGGAGGTGGTGGTTGGTGTGTGTCTTCAAGTCATTTGCAACTGATGGCGACCCTATTATGGGGTTTTCTTGGCATTTATTCAGCAGAAGTTTGCCATGGCCTTCTCCTAAGGCTGAGAGCATGTGACTTGCCCCAGGTCACCCACTGGGTTTCATGGCCAAGCTGGGATTCGAACCCTGGTCTCTAGAGTCGTAGTCCCACACTCAAACCATTGCACACTTAAGGTTGCCATAAGGCACATCACCACCACAGTGTTATTAAAAAAAACTATAGTGATGAAGACAAAGAATGCCACCAAGGAGAGCAGTTAGCAATCTGAATACCATGAAGACAATGACAAAATAATAACGGAAATATCATAAAATTGTTCAAAGCATAAAATTAATATAGCAAGGAAAGAGGAGCATATATAAGATCTTATTAAGCAAATGCAAAGATGGCTATAAATTAGGCTATGAACTGACTGGTGATTCCACAAGGGGATCAACTACCTGACAGTCTTGGTGCTCCTGATCCCTGATCATTTCAGGGAGGACTCAGGCCCTTTGCTTAGGTTTACACACACATGCACACACAAACACACACACACAATTGTTGTGTGAAGGAATGAGGGAAAACCAAAGGAAACTGGCATTTTTAGATCCTGTATTTTGATGTCGCCTTTTACTTTTAAAAAACAGGGTTCCAAACTACTTGACGTTGTTGTGATCTGAGCTGTCTGGGGTTACCACTTATTCAAAATGGATGCCCACACTTAGATGCACAGTTGATTGGTATTCCTTCATATGCCCAGTCAGTTTTTAAAAAGTGTTGAGAAGAAACTGAAAGGATATATACTTGTCCCTCCACGTTCGCTGGGGTTAAGGGCACAGGACCCCTGTGAATGTGGACAAACCGCAAATAACAAAAACACTACATTTTTACCTGAGAGAACACCTCTCTAGGAATCTCTAGGTCCTCCAACGCAACTCTATGGTCAATATTTGCTAGATATTGACCATAGAACTGTGCTGGAGGAGCTACAAAGGCCTAGTGGAGTGTTCTCTCTAGGAATCTCTAGGTCCTTCAGTGCAACTTTTAAAACTTTTGGCACTGGAGGACCTAGATATTCCTAGAGAGAACATATTAATAAAACCTATGAATGATCAAATCCACAAAAGTGAAAGCCGCAAATGTGGAGGGACAAGTGTACAATGTTTCATAATTCACCAGGGCTATGTGTAAAGAAAGCTATCCCACCTTCTGGAGAAAAATGTGTAATTGGAACACAGGACTCCTACTTGGAATGGCAAACTTGCCCTTTAGAATCCAACCACTTCAGAATTCTTGTTGTTGTTGTGTGCTTTCAAGTCATTTTGGACTTATGGCAACCCTAAGGCAACTCAGTCATGGGGTTTTCTTGGCAAGTTTCTTCAGAGGGGGTTTGCCATTGCCATCTTCTGAGGCTGAGAGAGTGTGACTTGCCCAAGGTCACCCAGAGGGTTTCCATGGCCAAGCCAGGATTCGAACCCTGGTCTCCAGAGTCACAGTCCTATGCTCAAACCACTACGCCATGCTGGTTCTAGAGTTCTAAAAGAACCAAATTTATATACAGAGGGGATGGAATAGAAATACTCTTTTTCCTTCTAAGGAATGGGGAAGACTGAGGTCCAAAACACACTGTAGAAATAATTCAGTTTGAGACCGCTTTAAGTGCTCTGGCTCAGTGCTGGGGAAATCCTGGGAATGGTAGTTGGTTGTGGCACCAGACTTCTCTGACAGAGAAGGCTAACTGTCTCACAAAACTATAGATCCCAGAATTCCCTAGCATTGAGCCAGGGCAGTTAAAGCAGTCTCAAACTGGATTATTTCTGCAGTGTGATTTGGACCTGAGATGCCGGTTTTCCTCCAGCCTTTACGGTTTAAGAAAAGCATGGCCATCACCTCGATGAATGTCTAAAGTCCAAGGACAAAAACCCAATAGGAGGAGTTCATTATCTACATTAATCTCAGAGCTTCCCAAACTTTGGTCCTGCAGATGTTTTGAACTTCAACTCCCAGGATTCCTGACATCTGGCTAAGCTGGCTGGGGCTTCTGGGAGTTGAAGTCCAAAACACTTGGAGGACCAAAGTTTAGGAATCACTTGCAGCTTTTCCAGAGCCTTTGGGATTTGCTTTCCGGGTTCCAGAACTTGACCACAGAATCCATAGATCTAGAATGAAGAACCATGGTGGTGTAGTGGTTTCAGCATTAGGCTATGACTCTGGAGATCAGGGTTTGAA